ATTAAAAGTAAACTGAAAGCTTCTCGGCAAAAAGTAGTCTACATAAGCTTACAATAATCAACATTGTTTCAATAATCGATGTTTGAACCCGGACTACTCGAACTTCACATATCACAGAAAACTGTATACAAAAATATATTTTTTACCTTCATTATCGAACTTCCGATAAATTATCGTTCAAAGGTCATCTTCAACAGAGCCATACTTGTTTCAAGCATAGGTTTCATCAATTTATTAAGTCATTCAAGACTGTAGATTCTTTGTTTTTAATCTCTCTCAATCTAACTGCTAGCATGGTCTTGGTTTCGAAATGTCCACACTTTTAGTCGACAAAAGAACTTCGCATAGATCCCTGCTTTTTCCCATATTGGTCCATATTATTGAAGTATTTCCAATAAAGTATCACCTCTTTTTGTTGTCGAAATATCAAAGTAAAATCCTTCTTTCTAATATCACTTTTAAGATGGGCCTAAATTGCTTTTCATCTTCGCAAATCGATTTCCCAGATGTGCGGACGCGTCGAAGTTATGACAAAATTGGCGGGAATATTTCTGTGCTGTTATTTCACTCTTCAGTGGATTTTTTCCTTCTTATTAATTGTTCTAATATTATCAATATGTAATATGAATGTTTAAGGAAAACATTTCGATTTTTCAACAAATACTTGGCGCTTTGTTTCCTTTTCGAGCGGAGTATGGGTTTCCTGTGGTGGTACACGGAATCCAGGACGGACGGACGGACGGACGGAAACGTGCGTACGCGCGGGAACCCTGTGTCGGTCCATGGAAAATCGACTCGATGGTATACCATTTTTTCTTRGCTATGGTGCTCCGCTCGCGCGGGCCTTTGGCCCGCGCGGGAGCTCCGCTATTAGATAGGGTTGGACTAGGGTTAGGGTTAGGTTAGGTTTGGAATTAAAATAAGGGTTTGTTTTGCTGGCTCACAAACCTCGTTATCACTAATACCATGGTTCTTTAAATACACAAATCCTATACTGCTGAACGCTTTGCAAATATTGGAAGCCACTTCCTGCACTCTCACGTCTGAATCACTTGGAATTTCATCATTACAAAGGCCCATTACACTAAAATCGACTATAGGAATGGACAACTTCTCGTCCGCCATGTTTGAAACTCTCCTGTGTTGCAGCTTGATCTCTTTGTTGATACCTGTGTAGTGACCCTTTTATATAACCGTCTTTAGGATTTGTAGTTTATTCATGATTATCACGGGATTAATTGCACCTGTAACTTTGAGTTTGGTTTTTGGTCGAGGGTACCATGTCAAAAGTCATAGTTTGCGCCGTTTGATCTTTGAATTTGTGAACTCGATTGTTAATCTAGTCACGTTTTAATCACCAGTGTTGCAAAAATCGCGCAGTTTGGCCTTGTATTTGTGAAATCGCTTGTCTTTCTCGAGTCACACTTTTAGTTCTGTAAGATCGAGTTGCTTAGTTTATTTTTTGTACTTGTGAACTTGCCTGGTACTCAAGTCAAGTGCATGGCGAGTTATCTCGAGAATGTCAAGCGAGTCCACAAGAGCTACGCTGTAAGAGCTACACTGTTTAAAGTGCACATGACACCAGTAGAAATTCATTCTCATCCATGAAAGAAAAAATGCTGCTAAGTTATAGGCGATTGAAACTTAGAAAATGCAAATGAAGTGACGTCAACAGCATTTTCAGTTCTCAATTATTACTATGATTGATGATTTGAGCTCCTCTTCAACCAGAACAGCATARCGCAAACAATGTAAAAAGTCTGGATCAATTCCTTAGTTGACGTCACTTCATTTGCATGCATTTTCAATTCAATTTTCAAATGTCTATAACTCAGAAAATAATACAATTCCTGAAATCTATTTCTTTCTTCACAGAATTTCTTGGCAGCGTGTTACCTTTCGGATAAAAGTGTTTTTCTAAAAGCTGTCATGTGCACTTTAATCTTTGAGTTTGTACACTCGCTTGACATTCTCGAGATACACTTTTATTGATAGCTCTGTAAGAGTTACGCAGATTGATCTTTTTAGTAATTTGTGAACTCACTCGACAATCTCGAGTCGCGCTTTTATCATTAGTTCTGTAAGAGTTGCGTAGTTTAATCTTTGTACTTGTGCCTGGTATTCAAGTCACGTGCATGTGCTCTTAAAGGTACGTAGTTTGATCATTCTTTGAATTCTTGGACTCGCTTGTCAATCTCGAGTCACATTTTGNAGGTCGCCAATGTTAACGATTACACACCCGGGTAGTGTTGGGGCTGGTATGTAGTCGCCATGGACTGGGAGAACCTGATTGGTGGAAGTATTCACGTGATTAGAGCCCTGGCTAATAGAGTACCAAAGTGTGACGTCACAAAAATATTTTTGTGGAATTTTTCGGGTTTGTCGAAATATCCTTAAAGCGCATGAAAAAAAGTAACTATCTACCAAGTTTTAGCGTCATAGTGCCATTTTATAGCGGAGATTTTATGGTTTGGTGACCACATACAAAACGCTTGTAAATTTGGTCTTGTTCATAACGAAAGGAACTAGAGCACATTTACAAGCGTTTAATAATAAGGGACTGTGCAATAATTACCTGGAGGGGGGGGGGGGTCTCTAATAAGCGCTATAAATGGCACTAGGACACTCATATTTAGAAAGGATGTATTAAAAATGATGTAAGTTGAAAAAGTCAAACATTTTCGTTGTGTGATGTCATCGCTTCAGTACTTTATCTAGGGTGTATAGCTGGCAAGTTTAATTGTACGCAGGGCTTATACCATACACGGCAAACACCATTAAAATTTAAAAATGTAGGCCAAGGCCCGTGATTTTAAATGCCTGATGCGAATACCTGTAGTCCCCCAAGTTCGTCCTGAAAGAGTAGTGTTATCGAACCATAGTCACTGTGTTCACCACATCGTACTTGGTCCTTCTTGATGACATAATCGTTGGTTATTGGCGGGTAATAGAGGATGCGCATGGCAGTGGAATTGATTGGTTTTCCAATGTTCTGATGAGCTTTTATTAGCCAATCAGGACTCTAGAGAAAAATGCATAGCAAACTATGAGATAGACTGACAGAAAGTTTATAAATTGTACTGTGTGTTTCGAATCTTTGACCATCTCACTTTTCTAAACACTTTAAACGCTAATATAAGAATTTTCAACCATCTGAAATTCGTTTTATAGTGATATTTGGATACTAGAAGTATTTTGGTGTAAATCATAACAATAACAGAGGCGCGCAATGCATAATGGTGCAAACTGGGCCTTTAACCTCGAAAACATTTAATATATTCTTTTATTCGTCAGAGATACTATTGTAATGCAAACACTCTGGGAACAAGGATGACAATAAAAATTTATACCTGATTGAAGCTAAGCTTGGACAAATAAAAATTCGAAACTACTTGCCTCCGTTGCAGATGCCTTATGAAGTTGGCTGAAGGTGCAGGACCCCGGCCTCGGCGAATTAGGCAAGACGGCTGCAACGGAGGCTATAATAATTGATATTGATAAAAACTGAAAAACCATTTGAGAATGACGGTATTTTTTTTCTTTTCTTGTCTTTTTTTTTTATTTTAAATGCCGCGGCATAAAGTTGATGTTACAGAGGACAACTTTAACATTGATTTTTTCGCGTAATGGTACAACATTCCACGTAAAATCGGCGTTTAAAATTGTCTTTAACACCACCTTAGCTATAGTCCCGTTGTCTGTGTGTCTCTAGAAAAGGGTGTATATTAAGTAGTGTTTAAAAAACGAGCAGGAGTGCTTTATTGAGAGATATAGACACGAGGCCGAAGGCCGAGTTTCTATATCCCCGATAAAGCACGACTGCAAGTTTTTTATACTAATTCCAACATCCAGAAATTGTTATCATTTTATAAAAAAGCTAAAAAATGCGAAAACAGTGATTATGCATATTATGCATAATCACTGTTTTCGCATTTTTTAGTGAGCATGTGCATTTGCCACAATTGAAAGAATTTTGATCCCACACGTAAGAACGGCCAGAGTCTATGATATAGTGCATGTCTGCACATTGATTCAAACTAATTTAAAAACTAGCAAAGGTGTATGATGCAACATTAAAACTGAGACATTTACTAGTGTTGGGTTGCGATAAAGCACTGATGACCTTGAACATCAGTTCTTTATATCTGATATAGAACTGATTAATAAAACACCAGTTCTATATCTGATATACAACTGATAAATAAAACATCAGTGCTTTATCGGGATATAAAGGCCTATTAATGTGACCCAATAGTTTGATGCTTATAGGTGGGCGTACAATGATGTAGTTTGTTTACACCCAAAATATAAAATTCAAAAAATAAGCAATCTGAACTCATATATTTCAAGATTATATTAATGTCAACCAAACCTGTAAATTTTAGGGCAAACGCCTTTTTACATTTCGAGATATCGGCATTTCAAAACTAGAAAATCTATAGAAAACATTCAGTGGTTGGCAAAATAATGCCAACTACGATCATTTCTTTAGCAATTTATCTTGCAAATTTGGCTCTTGATATCTCTTGAAATATTTAACCAATTGCCTTCAAATTTGCAGGAATTGTTAACAGGTATGAGTTCTTTTCATTTATGGGCTTGATTTTCTTGTGTCTTGAAATTCGATTTCTAAATTTTAAGTATATTAGCTTGAATGTAAACATTGGCGCCCACCTATTGGACTAATAGCTCATGAATTATTAATAGGTTCTAGAATTTCAGTTAATGGTCATCATCGAGGATTAAGCAGCAGTAATCCTGTCCCTTCAAACTGAATTTATTAGGCTCACCTTTATTTTGAGGCCAATTCCTATAACTTTTAATATTCTAAATGCAAGCTGAGCACATTTGTCATACAATCCTTCAAGGGATGGCTTCATGTCTGGTACAGTAGATGTTGGCCATTTCTAAGGGGAAAAACACTATAAATGGTATAGGGTTTCAGAGGATGTGATTCTGGGCTTCTGAGNTTATACCATACACGGCAAATACCATTAAAATTTAAAAAAGTAAGCCAAGGTCCGTGATTTTAAATGGCTGATGCGAATACCTGTAGTCCCCCAAGTTCGTCCTGAAAGAGTAGTGTTATCGAACCATAGTCACTGTGTTCACCACATCGTACTTGGTCCTTCTTGATGACGTAATCGTTGGGTATTGGCGGGTAATAGAGGATGCGCATGGCAGTGGAATTGATTGGTTTACCAATGTTCTGATGAGCTTTTATTAGCCAATCAGGACTCTAGAGAAAAATGAATAGAGAGTAAGAACGGCTAGCCTATGCTATAGTGCATGTCTACACATTGATTCAAACTGCTTTAAAACCTAGCAAAGGTGTATGATGCAACATTAAAACTGAGACCTTTGCTAGTGTTGGGTTGCGATAAAGTGCTGATGACCTTGAACATCAGTTCTATATATCTGATATAGAACTGATTAATAAAACATCAGTTCTATATCTGATATACAACTGATTAATAAAACATCAGTGCTTTATCGGGATATAAAGGCCCATCAATGTGACCCAATAGTTCGATGCTTAATCGACTAATAGCTCATGAATTATTAATACCTTCTAGAATTTCAGTTAATGGTTATTGTCAAGGATTCAGCAGCAGTAATCCTGTCCCTTAAAACTGAATTTATTAGGCTCACCTTTATTTTGAGGCCAATTCCTATAACTTTTAATATTCTAAATGCAAGCTGAGCACATTTGTCATACAATCCTTCAAGGGAYRGYTTCATGTCTGGTACAGTAGATGTTGGCCATTTCTAAGGGGAAAAACACTATAAATGGTATAGGGTTTCAGAGGATGTGATTCTKGGCTTCTGAGGATGTGATTTGTAACACTTACTGAATGTTCTACTTCGACATTGAAAGCTTCTTTCAAATCAGCTGGTCTATCTGGGTTTAGACTGAGACAGAAACAGTAAATTATGAAGAAAATAATTAATGCATGAGAGCGGGGGAAAATTGTTGTTGATTTATAAAGCAATAGTGTGTTTACTCAGTCGACACAATTCAAGAACTCATCAAAAACACTCTAAAATACCCCCCCCCCTCCCCCCAAATAGTCACAAAAGTCAATCAGAAAGCCCTGAATAATTTTTAATATATTTAAATGTTTGATTTTCAAAAGTTTTACAAAAGAATGTTAATGTTTTTGAGCTGAGCACTCTTGAATCTATTAAAAAAAGGCTGCAAAGCTAAGAATTAGGATTTCACTGAATCATACATAATCTAGTCATAGTAAGCCAGTGATATCATGCCATAATACAAAGTCACAAGGCTATAATTACCCGTAGGATGGGGGAGGGGGGTTCGGGGTTGCCCCACCTGTAAGGAAGCCTACGGGCCTGTATARAGAGTGACTTCCTTCTTCAATGMTGGMTAAACKTATGTAGATTCATATTACACAAATACCTTTCTCTTTCAAGAGCTACCCAGCCATGGTTAGTACCGTGACTGTCCCTTGCACATTTGGCTTTTTCTTCAACAGGCAAAGCAAAGAACGTGTCTGAAACTTGTCTAACTTTAGCAATCTATGAGTTGTAGATTGAAATATTATAATTATTGTTGCATAATGCCGGCACTCGGAGATACAGATTTTCAAGCGTTGAAAAGATCTCTCACAAGTGAGGGACTGCATGAGTGCAAGATTTTCAACACGAGAAGATATTTGTTTTCTTACTTCCACTATAACCTTGAGAAATGGAGAAACGAAAATCGAGATATTTCATTGATAATTATAAGCTTATGATAAAATGCAATATTGCTAAATACAGTTAATACAAACATAATACTAATAATAATTATAATCATAATCATATTTCATAAGCTTAATAACTTTAGCTAATCTTTGTAATCTAATAACTTAATAACTTACTTAAGTTACTGACATACACAAACATCACACACTTTAATTCATGCAATGAATAGGATAAAAGAAAATCAACATAGYTTAAATAAKATYAATTAAATTAATTCAATACGCAAAGAAATCATCAAACTTTTAAGCAATTTTCGTGATATTTGATCGAGAAGTAGCTTAAAATAAAGCTTAACTATAACTTAACTTTAAAAACAAACCTCGTCGTCGCTGATACCATGGTTCTTTAAATACACAAATCCAATACTGCTGAACGCTTTGCAAATTTGAGAAGCTATTTTCTGCACTCTCACGTCTGAATCACATGGAATTTCATCATTACAAAGGCCCATTACACTAAAATCGACTATAGGAATGGACAACTTCTCGTCGGCCATTTTGAGAACACAGGAGTCCCATAAAGTATCATTGCGCACCACAGGAAGCCAAAACGTTTTGATCACTGATGGTACTTGGTAAAGAAAATAAGAAGGGAAAGTCAACACCTGTATGTCTTCGTGTCTTGCGGTTTAGTTTTTCTCGCCGAATTAATTTTACTGAACCGAAAGTTAATGTTCCATAGCTTAACTAATTTTTGTATACGAAATTGAGAGTGTCTCAAAATCAGTCACACGAGATTTAAACATTTCACAGATGTGCAATAATTACCAGGATGATTTTGTTCCTGCCAAAGCTTTTTAAGAGAGCATGTCCATAAAAATCAAACAAATCTGAATTTAGTGGCCACCACGACTAAAAATCGATTTTGCTCAAATTTTGTCCAAATATACTTGTATTGTATCCTGGCTACACTAAATAGTTTTTGAAGTAAAATATATTTTGGTTTTCGATAAAATGCCGTTTAAGAGAGCACCCGAAAACCGTCATTTCATGGTCCAAAATGTACACTAACATTGCCGGCTGAAAACATTGGCAAAACAATTTGTATGATTTTTAAAACCCACAAATCCTTTTCTCCCTCATCCAAATATACCATAGCGTGAATTTCTGGTAATTCGAGAAACTTTTTGTAGCCAAAATCATCGCAGTCTCAGAGCATTACATTCTCCTCGATTCAAAAAAAAAAAAAAAAAAATAGCTATGCACTAGTCAATTGAAACCCACGTCCCCTCGACCCCCGGGGCTAGCGGGGAATTGAACGATGACGTGACGCCTTTTAAACGTGCTTTTAACTGCAAGATTGCCCCTGGGGTCGGAATTTTAATGAATTGTTTTCGAAGCGGGGCAAAGAGCGGGAATTTTAACACGCGCTTGAACATGTATGACGTTGGCAGCTTCCTTTACAGTTAGCATCATGTAGTACGCAAATGAGTACACAGGATTGTTCCAAAATAAACCCTGTGTATCACAGGAAATTTTATTGAAAGGTGTTTGTTTTGTTATTTACTACTAGACCAAAATAGTGGGGCAACAATAGCGGGGATTTTATGAATGTGCCCCGACTACCGGGGGAAATATCTTATTTTAACACCACTCAAACGTTAAATTCCCCGGTATTCCCCGGGGGTCGGGGGTCGGGGGTCGGGGGTCGGGGGTCGGGGGTCGGGGGCTGGGGGCCGGGGGTTTCAATTAACTAAGTGCATAAATATTACGCTTTGCAAATAAATACGTGACACGCGACAGCTCATTGGATTTTGACCTTTTAAGGTCAAATACAAAACACAAACAAACACACTCGACGGAGAATTCTGTCAAACATTCAGATTATTTCGCTTTTCCAAAAGCGAATTGGACTTCAAATGGCGCTTCTTACCTTAAATAGAGGTATGTAGTCCACAAAGCATAGATTGAGTAAAAAACGGTAGTACTATCAGTCTATATCGCAACCTCGTACCCAGGGCTCAAAATGATCAGTGTTGTTGATAAAACCCTCTTAACTGAAAAAGTAATTTGTAATTTCAATAACTAATTGTCAGTTAAAGTTGTTTTTGACATTTGCTACACAAAGAAACTAATGAAAAAAAAACTAATTCCCTCAACCCTCTGTTAACTAGGTAATCTTGGCATCAATTTTATGTAAAGCCCCTCTCTTGTTTTACAGATTCCCCATTCCCCTCCCCCTCCTGGTAATTATTACACGTGAGTCCTTATATTCAGAAACGTTTGAGGAGGTACTTGCATCTGTCAAGGAAGACTTGAAATGTGTGGATTATTCGGCATCTGCTGTTCGACATGACTGGTATTAACGTAGTTTCTCCCGGTCTACAAAACAGCCATCGTCCTTAGCGTTCCAACGTCATCATTCCTTATTTGAAAAAGGCCGGCCATTCACGACAAGATTCAACTATTTGCAGTAAATACATATTTATGAGCTCAAAATATAAGAAGCTCTTTTTTATTAGACATCTTTTTTTTCCTTAAAAAAAAACCTCAGAGCTCAATTCTCAGGTCAAACACTACAATACCAGTATCCACATGTAATCTTATCTC